TTAGGCGTCGAAAATGGGGCTACGGTTCTCATTGAATGCGGAACAGTGGATCATTCCGTTTTTCCTGTAACATGTATGTGTTAGATCAATGTTCCACCGTCTACTCGTGGAAGCAATTGATGGTAAACAGGTGTATGAGATCCTGAAGCTGCTTGCCAGTCTGATAAAAGCTCCAGATACAGTTCAAGCTGCTGAGGAGAGCAGGTACGGTCCCTCGTCTCATACTACCTGTCGACTGGCACGGTAAGTTCTTGAGTGCTATTTTGTAATACCGAATATGTTCGGGTGGCTGGCGCGGGAAGTGTAGCAAGTGTAACGCTGAGGACGTGACTCCAAAGAAGAGAGGGATAGTGTAATGCATTTTTCCTGTGATCTCATGACATTAGATGATCACTTTAGTAATTCGTCTGGTCCTTGTACTTGTGCGCTGGCCTTCGGGCCATGCACAGGACATTTGCTCTGTCTTCTTCGGAATATGTGAATTCAGCTACACTACTACCTTTTTAACACTGTGGGAGGTCTTGGGACGCCGCATCGGTCTCTGCTTTGGTTCGACTAGGTGTCTTGGTGTCGCTTAAATTTTCGTCAGCTGTCCGACGCCTATATCCTGTAGCACGGGTTTGACAGGGGCTGCTAGATTAGATCAGATATAGTAAGGATCCTAGGAGATATAGATGGGTTACCACATAAAAGGGTTAGGTTTTGCTTTGCTTTATGACTCATTTTAGGGTTTAAGTTTCTGTGTCTTTCCGTAAATGCAACGAATTATAATTCCGCTTGTATTTAAAACATAAGGCAATAGACCGAGTCTCCGCAAGAAGTCGTACTTTTCTTTTCTACTTAGTAAGTATATTTTTCTTTCATAATGAGTTCGTGTATTTTGAGTTTAGGTCATATTTGTTTGTGTAATTGGTGTTCAACGCGCATTAGTTGGTCTATAGGGTTTGCTGCACCAGTATTGTTTGTTATGCTGTTCGACTTGCACGGCCTTTCCGTTAAAGCATACTTTTTTGTTCTGTTTTATTTATCCATTGTAATTTTTTTGATTGAATTATGCTCATTGTTTATTTTTAACATTTGTTTGCAAGTATGCTTGTAATGTTTCATCAATATCTTCTCTGATTTGGCAAACATTAGTCCAATTGCAATAGTCTCATTCTAAGCAGGATTTTCCTCTTACTCTGTAGAGCTGTAACGCAGGGCTTAGCAGTGCTACTAAATACCGATTCAATTTTGACTGTAATCTAACCCTACTTCTTTCCTCTTCAGAAATGAGACTTTTGAAACCGCACTGGGTGACACATGGATCAATCTCTAAGAAGGATGTCCTACGTAAATAGTATACCTTTATGTTAAGGACTATTCCTCAACTTATTAATTAACTGCCTTTTTTAGTTCGTCCAATCTATACATTGGATATCCATCCAGACGGAAAGCGTCTTGCTACTGGCGGTCTCACTGACGGTGGAGGTCTCATAATTCTCTGGGATATGTCCATTATTAGGGATCCGAACAAGCAATCTCAATCGGCCTCGAAAATGCTTTATCAAATGAATAATCACCAAGGTAGTGTCTCAGTCTGCTTTTATCCGCCCATTTTTATTGGATTTTGCTCATTGAATGCCTTTGTTTAGCTTGTGTAAACTGCGTTCGTTGGTCCCCTACTGGTCGGTGGCTGGCCTCTGGTGGTATGGACCGCGTCATAATGCTGTGGGTAAAGACAATGTAAGTATATTTTTTGATAACAGTCTTTTCGCGTTAACGGTTGCATTAGTTTTGCTTTCTTTAGCGCTGGTGTTAGATCAAGTGCGATGTTTGGTGCATCTGAAAAGATGAAATTTTCGGAACACTGGAGATGCGCGGCCGTTCTACGACATCATACTGGAGGTTTGCAGCTTTACTTTACGTTTGAAGCTGTTACATTGCATTGTTGAAATGAGCACCCATTTTAGACATCATTGATATCGCGTGGGCACAGGATGGATCACGCTTGGCTTCAGCCAGTGTTGATAACACGGTCGTGATTTGGGGTAACTCGCCCACTAATGAGAAGCAGCAGCCCTTTCAATTTATTGCCGTTTTACGGGGTCATCGTGGTCCTGTCAAGGGTGTGGCATGGGATCCTGCGGGTCGGTATTTAGCCACCCAGGCTGACGATATTGGTGTGCGTGTTTGGAGGACTGCTGATTGGCAGCCCGAGAGCAAAGTTTCCACGCCTTTTACCAATGCAAGTTTCAAATCTTTGAATTCAGATAGGTGATTCATGCTTAACAATTTATTTCCTACTCGAATGTCATCTGTCAGGCAGCAGATCAGGCCGAGGTGACGCGTCTCTCATGGAGTCCCGACGGCTCAGTCATTGCCGCTCCGCATGCTGTTAACAATAACTTTCCAACGGCTCAACTCATCACGCGCAACCGATGGCAGACTGGACTTGATCTAGTTGGCCATGAAAAACACGTTACCTGTGCAGTATGTGCAAATGTTTTTTCCGTTCCCATTTGGAAGATGCTAAACTTTTTTTGGAAATAATTTTAATTTTCCTTTTGAGTCCCTTATCTCCTCTTGTGTTTCAGCGATACAATCCCAATCTTCTCAAGAAAGTTAATGACAGTGAATCACCGGTAATTCATTGTGAGTTTATTGATGCTAGGCTTAGTGAATGGTGTGATCATTTTCTTCATTTTAAGGGGATGGTTTGCCTTGCTTTGGGCGGCAAGGATCGGTGTATCTCCGTGTGGGTACGTGGTACTTTTTGTCGTGTTACGAGCTTTTATGCTTCATTAACTCGCTGACTACTGCGATGTTTCCACTGCTGTAGACCACATTGACCAACCGCGCATTTGTTGTCATACGCGACCTCTTCACTAGTTCTATCACCGACTTAACTTGGTGAGTTAAATTCGGTTGATTAATGGATCAATCTTTGAGAGTGGGCAGAATTTTTCCACTCTTTTATGCTTGTTCTTGAGGAGTTCAAGTGGGTGTGAACTGCTAGCTTCTTCTCTGGATGGATCCATATCCTACATGGCCTTCACTAAAGAGGAGTTGGGAGAACCCGTAAAGATGGAGGAGGTTGTGAGTCCCTTCTTCGTTTGCATTTTAGTTGTCAAATGGATGCTCGATTTCATATTTGATGCCTTGGTCCCATTGAACTTCGAACGGTTAGTTAAATTCCGTCTAACTTGTTCACTGCAACTTGCTTTTGTCGGATTTTGATAGTTTGTCTTATCTACTGACGGTCTAACTCAATAAACGATGTGACCAACGCATCAAGAGCGTATGCAAATTACACATCGACGTACTCACCTAAACCTTAATCCGCAACTGTCATCTCTGTTCAAAATCACTTTTCAGGCTCGGCTCCATCGTAAGCTCTTTGGCCAGAGTCTCATCGATGGCCTACTTAACTCATTGAAACCTTCACCTACGCCTCCTTGCAATGGGGTGGACTCCAGCACAGGTCAGAAAGCGAGTGGTGATGTAGTGCTGGAGACACCCGACGCACTGACACTGCAACGCTCACAGACGGACCTCCGACAGAAGCTGGTTCCCTCGGGCTCCTGTTCCTCTTCCTCTTCCACGCCCAACAGCAAAGTTGCTGTCAAACCACCCAGGGTTCGTGTTTTCAAGCATATTTAAGTGTGTGTATGTAAATGTGTCAGGCCTTTCCTTCAGCTTGGTCCTCCTTCGTCCCTTTAGATATCTGTTCAAACGGAAGTCCGGACCAAAGATGGGAGAAGACGCATTACACCAAGTTTTTTGGGCTCTTTGGATTGGTGAGAGAGTTGGATATCACCTTTTAGTCTCCTCCAATCATCGTGAATAAAAAATAAGTCTATTTACATACTTTGTTACTTTGGTCGGTCCATATGATCTACAGTCTGGACGAGGAGCCACCGGCAACTTTCCCCATGATTGTCGAAGAACCCCCAAAGCTAATGGAATCTCCACCGACACTTAAGTCTGCTTTAGTATCCGTTTCTCTGCCTAAAATTCAATTGATTAATAACGCGCCTTCCACTTCAACCAATGGTGGTACTCCACCAGCCAAGGTTAGTTCTCTCTCCCTTTCTCGGAGTTTAGTTCCTCTTGTTAGTAGTATTCACTCTATTCACTTAACATCAAATCTGGTAAATCAACCTAACGAGTGGCAACTGTCCATTTTTATCATTTTTTTCCGTAATGAGTGTCGTAAGTCACTCAGTGCTAGCGTTCTATCTTTTCCCCGATGCTGTCGTCTTTTAGTTCTTAATCACTTTCCCTTTCCTTTCCTGCCCTCCCTCGTCTTTAGAGCAGCGAAGATGTGGCCATCTTGTAAGTTGCTCAGTTAAACAGTTGTAATTTTGTATGTGCATGCAGACTTGTTGACCAGTGAATCTGTGAGGGTTTTTACCCTTCTAGGTCCTCAGATCCATCTGACAGTCCTCCAGTGTTATCTAAGGCGTCAGAAGAGCCACCAACTTCCACGAAAAGGCGTAAACGTGTAGAGATGACGACGATCTCGCATGACACCAAAGTGATTGAAAAGAAGGAAAAGTCTTGCAAAAAACGGAAGCGGTCAAGCATATTCTTTGACGACGATGAGGATGAGGCTATTGTCAATGTCGCTGGATCCAGTTCTGTCCGACCCAGTCCGGTTAAGCCAATGGACAAATCGGTGGATAAACAAGGTCTGTCTTCTCTTTCTACTCCTCCTTTATCCACTCTAGGTGGCCAGATCTTTAGTAAATGACTTGCGTTTATAAGTTCGTGGAGCTGCTCCACCTGGAGGGTCCTCTAAGGCTCCAAAGCTGGCTGCTGTCTGGGCGATGGACCAACTGGAATTGTCAGGCAATCGTGCGCAATTTGTTTGCTGCCATCCAGTTGAGGGTCCCATCATCGTCAACATCACGAATGGGGAAAAAGGAGAAGGTGCAGTTCATCGAGTATCTGCCTCTTGTTCCAGTGATGGTAATTCAAGAAACCTCTGGAGCCTCTCCTCGTCCCATCGTTTTACCTCCCACGCCCATGCTGAGTCAGTTATTGCCCTTCTTTTCCTTAAAAAGCATTGCCATTCATATTAGATTCTAATGTACAATGAAATCTAAATTGGCACTTTTGAACCTCCTTTGTGATTTCACATTTCAGTACCCAACCTCTTCATTCTAGGCAGAATTGCTTGTTGCTACTTTACGGCATAGATTTAGGGTAAACCTTCAGCTATTCATTATGAAAGGCGTTTTTGTCGTCTTATTCCACAATGCATCGTGTTCCAGCAATTGGCTTGCCATTGGAGATGCAAACTGTCGACTTCGGCTACTCTGGAGCGTAGGATCCTCGATTTGCCCACCCATACTCCTCGATTCGGCGCCACAGCTGCTTGCGACAACAGTTGTTGACGGCTCTACGGTGCGTTTGGCTGCTCTTGCAGCGTCTGGTCGCCTCATCGTCTGGACGCTGACTCCAAGGATCCAAGAAAACACTCAACACCACTTTGGTTGTGGCATTGATCAGAGCTTACCAGAGATTTTTGCCAAGACCCATCTCGACACTTCCCGATGTCCGGCAGTCAGTCTTGACTTCTCTCCAGATGGGGCTGGACATCTGGTGGTAAGACTCAAGTCTGGCTCCTGTTTTCTCTTCCACGTGAGACGTCTTCTTTGGATCGAGTTGTTTGATGCGGGTGAGGGCGAAGACAACTTCAAGCGACGTGTTGCGGCCACTATCCATCGCACCTGTCCCTCTGGACCCCTGGCTGCAATGCAACAATTTGGGAGATTGGAAGTACCGGCAGCCGGTGAATTAATGATTGCTACTACTTCTCAACGCAAGGAGTTGAGAGACTTTCACGACGCTCAGGTGCAAATCGCTGAATTGTTTGGCTCTGCAGCAGAGTTCAAGTTTTGGCTTTTGCGATGGTTTCAACAACTCATTGAAGAAGGTGCGTCCCGAGTCTTGTTGCTTGATCCAAAGGACTGTCCCTGTTTAACGGCTATGTTTGTCAGATTTGGAGTTACAGGGAAAATTTCGCCAACTAAAATAAGCTTTTATAGGTGATCACGCCCGCATTCGGCAGGTCTGTCTCGATTTAATCGGTCCATTCTCGCCTACTAGTCATACATCTTGGGAACCGTCGATTAAGGTAGGTTGCAACGCAAATACTTTCAAAAAACACGGCAAAACATAAGCCAAATGTATTCATCCGCCTTCGCAGGGTCTATCGAAACGCGCTCTCGTGAGAGAACTCCTTACCTTCTTTGCGCTCAATCTCCGACTGCAACGGCTCTATGTGGAGATGAAGGAACTCCTTGAACAAACTCAGGAAGCCGGCTAAATATCTGCATTTCAGTTCTTTGTACGTTTAAAGGAACAATTATTCGTCCAGGCTCAACCAACTCAATCAATAGCAAACGAATCAATCATTCAGTCAACCCAACAGCAGAAACTGTAGACGTGCGAGACCCAATTATTCAGGAACATCTTGTGCGCCTCTTGTACAAAATATACATTACTCACCACTGCCATCTCTCAGGACGTACTCCCGTCGTAGGTGGGTGAGACACTGTGTTTGAATGCATCCAATGCAATTGAATTTGAGTAGTGATTCCTTTTACTTGTGGTATCTCATCGTTGGAAACGGAAGGCGGGATCGCCATTCTAAGTGTAGTGCAAACAACAATGCCGTCAAATCGCCTCAGTTGTTAAAACTTTTCTCGTTTGGGTTAGGCGCCGATCGGTAATGTGCCTTTGAAAGTAATGGACGTTGAGTGGTTGTACGGCACCACTTCATATGTGGTAAGCCTGTCATTTCCTAGGGATATCTCCGTTAAAGGGCAGTAGCTTTTTGCTCAAGACAGGTATAGGGATAAGTACAAATGGTTAAAATAATGTGTACAATCCGAGGGGAAGTACATTTGTTCCGGTTATTAACTATAGAAATCAAAAAATTTGAACAGTGCAACTGCATAATAGTTACGATGTCGCAGCAAGGGGAACTGTCGCAGTTGGGCAGCGGTCGAACTTCTAAACTCGCTGTTTAGGACCAGCGGCATATATTTGGAGAGCCATTTAAGGTGGAAGATGGTTCTGTCTTCACGTTCATTTATTTCCAGACATTTAACCATTATAAACTAAACATAATTGTTTGCCAATCTACAAAAATTCGAAGGAAAAGTCATGCTCGTCTAGCGCTCTCAAAGTAGTACTTAGATATTCGTTTGTTCTTGTACATACAAGCACGCCTTAGAGGCATGTCAGGACCCTATCACTTCTTCGCGTAGAATACGTATATACTGCTCAAAATGAAACCATCTTCTACCTGGTCAAAAGATTGACGAGTTAAGTCCAGAACTTCCTATTGCTGAATTTCTCCAATGCCAATTATTAGGATAACTATCGCAATTTCGCATATTGATCATTGATTTACGTGTTGTTACACAAAGTGAATTGCGAAAATTTCATGGGAAATCAAATTTCCAAAACTTAATCGCTTTGTAAAATAAGGATACTAACTCAAATGTAATTACTGATTACACATGACGTGAGTTTATGTTGGAGGATTTAATATGTTCTTAACTCAAAATTATTTTGGACGAAATTAAGGCAAACTATTACGGAGTGCTATGACCTTGAAGTATCGGTATAAAACCGGATGGTTTGAAGTCCACAATCTTTTGTAACTATTGTCGAGATGTTC